ATAATAATAATAATAATAATAATAATTATTATTATTATTATTTATTTAAAAAACTATTTTTTAATTCACAACATTCCCATGCACAACCAAACACAGTAATGTAATATTCCTAGGAATTTGAGAAAGATTTCTGTATAGAACCAAACACAATAATGTATTATTCCTAAGAATCATATTACCCTCCATCACTTTTCTGGGAATATGATTCCTTATGATTACCCCATACTAAACGTCCCCTTAGTACTATCTATTTTTAAATATTTCATATCGGTATTTTAACATTTTAAAAAATCTTTTTTTATATCTCGTAGCCATTTTTTGGGAACACAAAAAGACAAAATTCTCCTTATTCGAAAAATCTATCTGTTGACCAAAATTTTGAAAGAGAAAAAAAAAGAATTGTAAGAAAGAAGCAGGTTCTTTTAATGTGTTTTTTTGGTGTTTAGTTACAGCTATAACAATTTTTTAAACCCTTCTTTTTTTAAAAAATTTTGGTCAACATATGAATTTTAACAATAAGAGTAATTTTATCTTTTCGTGTCCCAAAAACTAGTTACGAGGTACTAAAAAAAGATTTTTTAAAAAATTCAGGTACCAACATGAAATTTTTAAAAACATAGGTACCAAACTCAAATTTTAATATAGCAGAGAGTACCAAAATGAAATTTTTTTAAAAAAAACTATAGGGTTGTTATGTATTTTGACTTATTGTACTAGCAAGTGAAAGCGGACGTAATTTCATATTAAAGATGAGACACCACACTATACATTTTGTAAGTGTTATTTATTTATTTATTTATTTTTATTTTAGTGCTCTTGGTGGTAAAGAATGAGAGCGTCTAATTCTTAACATGGTATAATAGGCTTCAATCCTGGAAGGGGTATAGCTTAGCATCGACAAAGTCCTGTTCTCATGAGGGGATTCCATATTACTTCTAATTGCTACACCAAGTGTTTGAAACACTTGCGTTTGATTAGTGTATTCGTGCCATAATTTAAATCATGGTTCGTGATTCGCTATAATATTTTCTCTCATAAAAAACACAGGTAAATAAAAAATAATTCTGAATCTATGAACCAAACGTCTACATAAATCGAAAATAGTTTTGAACCCTTTCAATAAAGAAGCTTAAAAAGTCATTTTCAAAGAATAATCTCCTTGTTTATTCTGTATTCATGAACTTGAATTGAGTAAGATTTTTAAAACTTTTCTTGACATGCTTATTACATAGATGTGCATATAATTACACGCCTACTTTTACATAAACTCTTTTATGTACAAATAATTCATTGTCCTCTAATCTAACAAAAGATTGTTCTTTTCATCCTATAACCAGGAGGAGTAACTAATTTGGCAGTCATACCGCGGTCTGCGCTCCTTTCAGCGGCGAATAGTCGAAAAGTTCTAAGCGCATTTCGGGTTTCGGGGCTTGACAAGTACCCTCGGCGTTCTAACTCATCCGAGGAAACGATCACTCTTCTTTCCTCAAGCTGCTCCCTCAAAGAAAGCCAGAGTTCCTTCCATTTTCAAAGCAGTAATTCATGCCAACAGACACTGGACTTGCAAATGCAGGTCTCTCTCTCTCTCTCTCACACACTCTCTCTTGGACAACAATTTAAAAACTTTCCAACACAATGCAATGCTGTAAAGGGATATTTGCATAAATGAACACAATTCAAATACTCCTAACTTATGTCCATTTCCTAGTAAATCCTCGATTAGTAAATTTAAATCACTAATTGACTCTTGAGAGAGCTGTTATCCTGAAATTTTCTTGTCTTTCCATAAAGGTAGGGAAAAAAAAATTAAGTTTTAATAACAACTTGCTTGTGTAGGCGGAGATCTGGTATTTTTTTAATCCTTATGTAAAGCATAACAAATGAAAAAAAAAAAAAAAAAAAACTTTCAACAAAGACGTGAATTTGAAAGAATTGGTAGACTGAAATCTTGATACATCACAAAACAGTACATTTCAAACCTTTGGCTATCTTCTTCCCTACACCTGTTCGGTAGTCTACTTCGGTTACAATACTATTCCCTTCCGATCTCGGAGTTAGCTTTCCTTGCTTCCATCTTCCTTGAGAAAGACCTTAAATTAAAAGTACTTCAACCGTTATAAAACTTTACACAAATAGGGTTAAAAGGCTAGGAATAAGCTAGAGACTAAGGTCTCATTTAGTTCACGGATTCGAATTCTTAATTCGAGCTTAAATGTGATTTTATGTGAGAGTTTTTTACTGTAGTAGAAAAAGTAAAATGTAATTTTTTGTGAGAGTTTTTAACTATAAAAAAATTATAATTAAAAATTTGAATAGATGAAATGAACGAGGCCTAAGAATTGACAACAAAACTTGTGAAGTTGTGAACTCACAGTTGTACTAGTTTTACAAGCACTTGTTGAGCTTTTTTTTTTTTTTTTTTGTGTGTGAAAATTTGGGCAGAAAGACTGGACACCAGCAGCAATGCAAATGAAAGTGGAAACAAGTTTGGAGAACAGAATGTGGGCAATGAAGATGGCAAAGCATGTTATGGAGATGAATCGGCATTTGCAATCGCGTCTTCTGGACTTGATGGAGAGCAGATTGTTATGGTCCAAGGAAACCAATTTACCCAACACAAAGAAGAGAAAGAAGCTCCTAATGAATATGGTTGAGAGTTCCTCTAATAGGAATGATCACCCATTTCAAGGAGAGGATCAATCAAATTTCCCGTGTTAATTCACTTTGGCACAAGAGAATTAATATTGTTATTACATGAGATATTGATGCAGAATTAAGTAGATTTTATTTCATGTTGGAAGTTAGCTTGTTTTGACAGTTTATGTTTCAGTTTTTCACTCCGATGAACAAATGTGTGTGTCATTGAAGGTTTTATTATGATCATCAATTTTTGAAAATAGTGGAAGTTTGGTTCATAAGTTCAGAATCATGATTCATAACCATTCTCAATTTACGTGTATTTTTTGTAAGAGAAAATACTGTAACGAACCACGCACTATGACACAAATTTTTGCTCCAAACGCAGCAGAAGAGATATTTACTTTTAAGTGATCGTTGACATGTCGTTTATGAAGTTGCACGACATTACAGTTTCTGTGAAACAAAAATATGTTTCAGATGATAGAAGCTTGATACATTGGTGTCGTTTTCTTGAAAGGAGAACTATATTTTTCCATGTTAAAGCAACCAGAAACTTTTGAAGCGTACTTAAACATTCAACCTCAAAAAAGACATTTTTCTATATTTATTTTATGTTTTGTGCACTTAAACATTCAAATGTTAATGTTTTGAACACACACACACACATATATATATGTATGATAATCTAGTAGTATCATATATATACGTGTGTGTTTGATTTTCGAATATTTTTAGGTGTGTTGTCTATTAGGGAGAATTAGAGAATTTATGTTTTTTCTTATTATATAGTTGTCATATTTTAACTACAAGTGATATTAAGTAGTCAATTAATATTAATTTTGAATAAAATATAAAATTTCACTATTTTTGCTAGTTGGGTCATAAACGTGTTTTTTTTGTGTCGACCCGTCACGGCCCGTTTAATAACCGTAGTAACCGTATTTGCGTGTCGTGTTGTATTAACTGTGTTATTAGCGTTCCGTGTTCGTGTTTAGATTTTTGACACGTTTATTAATCGTGTCGTGTTCGTATTTATTATAATCGTGTCGTGTCATAATCATATCGGCCTGAACATGACACGTTAATACAAATTATCAGCCCTAACTCTACCAGTAGGGGATCCCCTACCATAGAATCTCCCCAAAAAATTGACATGTTTTCATAAAAAGGTAACTAACGACATGTTGTTCTAGTTATTCAACAATGGCCAAACTGCAAACGATAACTCGTTTTAAGGAAATGGACGACGACAAACTTCAACAAAACGGTATGTTATATAACAGACTTAAGACAGTAACAAACTTAACAAAACTACACGTCAACCCCAATTTCCAATTTTATAAAAAAAAAAAAAAAAAAACTTTAATGGCAAAGAATAGTCTTTCAAAAAAAAGGGGTTGCCGTTTTAATAAGCCAAACCAAACTTCAAAGGACAAAAAATGACATGTAATTTTGACCTAGAAGATAGTTAACTTCTTTACTGTGTCATATTATTGTTTTTTTTTTTTTTTTTTTTTTTTTTTTTTTTTTTTCGCTAAAGATGTCGTTTTACGCTTAAACAACAAACCACTTTGTCATTCTTTTTGAGGTGTATGACAATTTACATTTTAAGAAAACGTTTGGTTCATGAATTAGAATCATGAGATTAAAATTATTTTTTATTTACGTGTATTTTTTATGAGAGAAAATACTGTAGTGAGCAACGAACCATGATTCGAATCAGGGGCCGAATCCCCATTCCAAACGTCCCCTTAATTTTATGACAGCACTTTTTAAATTTAAATTTTTTTAAATGAAAACATTATTTGAATAATGAGTAAATCCATCTACCAAACAAGCCTAATGAGGCTATGTGTTAAACCCTTAGATACGTTACATATGTATTAGATTTTATTATTTTCGTAGATTTTTTTATTTATTTTGATGTAATTTTAACGATAGGATATGATACATGTCCCAAAAAAGGGACCTACAAAAAACTCCAATAAAAGAAGACTTTTTTTATATGAACACCTTCTTAGTTTTACGAGTTTAGTAAATTAGTTCTTGAACTTTTTTTTCTTGATAATTCACCTCTTAAAATTTAAAATTTATTACATTGTTGATCAAATTAAAAGAGAAATTAAAAATTTAAACGGTATCTTCTATGTGAGTGTTTAATAAAGATAATTCTAGCTTTTTGCGTATAATTAAACCTTTTATACACATCATGAATTAAAAAATTTTGAACATAGAGGACCACTACCCTAAAATGGTTAACTCCCAATTTCAAATAAATTTTTGCTCTTGATACCTATACGAGGATTACTTCGATACAAAAAAATATTAATTACTCTTATTAAATACTCACATAAAGATACATGTCCCGTTCACTTCACCGATTCGAGTTTAGAATTTGAGTTTTGCTACAGTAAAAAGTTCTCAAAAACAGTTACATCTAATTTTTTTACTACAGTAAAAAGCTCTCACATAAAATCACATATTAACTCGAATTACAAACTTGAATCAGCGAAATAAACAGGCCTACAGTCTCTATTTTCAATTTTATTTTTAATTTGATCAACAGTGTAATAAATTTTAAAATTTAAGATTACCAAATAAAAAGTTGAAAGATTAATTTACAAAATTAGTAAAGTTGGGATCTCCGTACAAAATAGCCATAAACAAACCCTACCAGCAGCACTTCACCAATTCACCTTTTTGATGTGAAAGTCAGCTAGCAGGAGACGGAAACATTAAAGGCTCTGATATCACCAAATGGACTACTTGAAATCAACCTCGGATGCTACAAGTGAAAGAGGAGGTTTACGCGGAAAATTGAAGAAGGTCGTTCTCGCCTATAGTGGTGGCTTGGACACTTCAGTCATTGTTCCATGGCTTAGGTACATGTATAAAATATTATATATATATATGTGTGTGTGTGTGTGTGTGTGTCTATATTAACATTGTTTTCCTCTTCACCTTGTTCAAGCCATTAACTTTCTTTTTCCCTTTGTTCTGGAAGTGGGTTTTTGCCCAAAATCATCTACAATATGGAGAAAGAATGGGTAATGAGTAAGGCATATGAAGGGTTTATTGGTACCATCAATTAATGATGTTTTGACCTGATAATATGTATATTCCAAAATGCCACTTCCTTTTCACTCATGTGGGCCAGCTCTTTGATGAAATTTCTCTCTCTCTCTCTTGAATTTTTCTTTTATCTGATGCAGGGAGAACTATGGTTGTGAGGTTGTTTGCTTCACTGCTGATGTTGGTCAAGTACGTTTTGAGTAGGAACTTTTTTAGTTCAAGATTGACTTTTTTTTAAAGTTGATAAGTGAATTTTTTTTGACCTTTTGATTTGTTCTCTTGCTATCTAAACTAAATTGATAGGGTATAAAGGAATTGGAAGGTTTAGAAGAGAAAGCCAAGGCCAGTGGGGCTTGTCAGTTGGTAGTGAAGGACTTGAAAGAGGAATTTGTTAGAGACTACATATTCCCTTGTTTGCGAGCTGGCGCGATTTACGAGAGAAAATACTTGCTGGGTACCTCAATGGCCCGGCCTGTTATTGCCAAGGTGAATTTTCGATGTGAAGTTCTTGATATTGAAGTTGCTATAGATTCTATGGTTTGTCATGAAAAATTTTATCACAAGTATCATGAATGCATATGCGTCAAAATTCTGTAGATTTTGAAAAGCCAAAAGTATTGTTTTATCGGAGTGTTTTGGCCGTGACAAATTTTATTTTAGTTTTGTAATCAATCATGAATTTCCTTATTGTTTTGTTTGGTTGGCCATGAGCAAGAATAGTACAGTTTCTATACTGAAAAAGCATATCTTATGTTTCCATTTGTTGTCTTCTTTTGTTGGAGATATTATTATTTATTAAAATCAAGTTGTGCTTCATACACAAAGGCTTTCCCTTTCTCATGAAAATAGGCCATGGTGGATGTTGCCAAAGAAGTTGGAGCCGATGCCGTTGCTCATGGATGCACGGGGAAAGGAAACGACCAGGCATGTTTATCATTTCAGCATTGAACGTTTCGGCACCTGTTGTGCTTCTTTCGACACATTCTTTATTTTTCATTTCAGGTTCGCTTTGAGCTGACATTCTTCGCCTTAGACCCGAAACTAAATGTTGTGGCTCCTTGGAGGGAATGGGATATTAGAGGTAGAGAAGATGCTATTGAATATGCCAAGAAGCACAATGTTCCTGTCCCAGTGACTAAGAAATCCATTTACAGCAGAGATGGGAACTTGTGGCATCTTAGCCATGAGGTAATAGACTAGAATTAAGTGCTTTTTTTAAATAACAAAATGATGTCTGTTGAAGTTCAAATCTTCCCTTTATAGTTTTGATTTGTATATTCCTTCGCTTCTAGTGGCTGAGGTCCGATATTTTTTTTATGAACTTTACTATGAAATTTAAGGGTGACATCTTAGAAGACCCCGCAAATGAACCTAAGAAGGATATGTATATGTTGACAGTGGATCCAGAAGATGCACCAAATGAACCTGAGTAAGTTCCTCCTCAAATTTCCTTGTAGTTTTAAGTTACTACCTAATTGTTTCTATTTCAATCCTTATTTTCTATCCCCCGCAGATATATAGAAATCGGGATTGTCTCGGGGCTACCTGTTTCAATCAATGGGAAGGAGTTTTCCCCCGCATCTCTTCTTTCCGAGCTCAACCAAATTGGCGGAAGGCATGGCATAGGCCGTGTTGACATGGTTGAAAACCGCCTTGTTGGCATGAAGAGCCGCGGAGTTTATGAAACTCCAGGGGGCACCATCCTCTTCACTGCTGTCCAGGAGCTCGAGTCCTTGACACTGGACCGAGAAACAATGCAAGTCAAAGACTCACTCGCCCTCAAGTATGCTGAGCAGGTCTACGCAGGCAGGTGGTTTGACCCACTTCGCGAGTCATTAGATGCTTTCATGGAGAATATCACAAAGACCACAACAGGCTCAGTGACACTCAAACTGTACAAAGGTTCTGTTAGTGTGACAAGCAGGACCAGCCCCTTTAGTTTGTACAGGCAAGACATTTCCTCGTTTGAAAGCGGGGAAATTTATGATCAAGCGGATGCTGCCGGGTTCATCCGGCTCTACGGGCTTCCAATGAAGGTTAGAGCAATGCTTGAGAAGGGTGCGTGAATAAATCTTCCTATCAAATAACACCAGTGTCCAGTGCTTTTGCAGTGTGTAAGGCATTTGGATTTGAGTTTTTGTTGTTCTAATATGATGTAGTTTCTCATTTATCTTCTTAATGGTGTCGTTTAGGGCCCATTTGTGACACTTGATTGTCGTTCAGATCAGAATGAAAATATCCGGATCTATGGTTGGCACCTTGAATGAAGTCTATTGGAGTAACTATTAAGTTAATACTTCTGCGCTCAAATTTTAGTCTCCTGCTCTTTCCTTTGATTTTTTTTTTTTTGATTTTTTTGATTTTTGATTTTTTTTTTGTTTTTGTTTTTTGTTTTTTCTATGTTTAGCACTCCACCAAAACTGTCAAAACTATATAATTAAACTAGAAATACAAAAACCCTCCAACTTTTGTAATTCATAGCAAACAAAAACAAAAGCAGGAGTTGGAGGATTGTCATAAATCTGAAAGGTTTGCCATTTCTTTTATTGAAATAACTTAAAGGTAATAACTGAATATAAAAGATTAAAAATGCAAAATGAACATTTGTTTTTTTTTTTAGTGAGCAAAATGAACATTTTATATTTTAAAAAATTGGTGGATATTATTTTAATATCATCAAATAATGATATATCTTTTTTCACGACTAAAAGAGCCTTTCAGTATTACAAGAAATACAGAGTAATTCCATTAAAAAAAAAAGAAAGAAATGCAGAGTAATCTTTTGGGAAAAAAAATACAGAGCAATGAAATGATAAAAATCCTAATTAAAACACAACAATTCATCCGAAAAGGAGTCGGCAAAGCCGAAAATAGGTTAGGTATGTTTATTTCACAACTCAAATAATAATTTAAGTTATGATTTGAGTTGTGTATATTACAAAAAAATACTATAACAAAAAAATTAAATTTAAGGAATCCCATGGGTGGGTAGAAAAAAAAAGTATAATTTTGACTGTTTTACTTACGTTACAAAGTAACAAATATTATAATTGGATCGATCGATCATTTTTCAATCATTTATTGAATGATAAATTATTGTAAGTGACGAAGATATACAATTTAAATAACAAAAAGTTTAATGTCTAAAAATTGTATCTAAATTGACTGAAAAAGTAAAAACAATACCAAATATAATTTGATCATTAAAAAAAATACTGTAACAATAAAATTTAAATAGATAAATGAATGAAGTCGATAATTGATCCGTTTAATATATATATATATTTTTTCAATCCATCAAATAAAATTGCCTGCTTTGAAATAAATTAAAAAAAAAAAGAAAAGAGAAAGAAATGCTTGCATGGTGATTCTGACCCAAATGTATTCAGGTGGCGTTTGGTTCATAAATTTAAATTATGTGATTAAAATTATTTTTAATTTATGTATATTTTTTATAAAAAAAATACTGTAACAAATCATGAATCATAATTTAAATCAATGAACAAATCTAGGTATCAAACGGACTCTCAAAGTTCAAAAACGGTCTACAACTAAAAGCCTCTGAAATTTGGGGGCGCGGCGGGAAATGGGTCCCACTTGAGCCGCCAATGCCATGTCTGTTTGTAGGACCCACGCCCTTTTTTCAACCATCCCCCTAAAAATAATAAAAACCTAGCCGTCTATCGCACCAGGCCGTTTCTTCCCTCCCCTCAGTTCTTTTGCTCTTCTCTGTCTCCGTTGGGCTCCCCTCCAAAAGACAACAACTTAGAGAGAGAGAGAGGCACTGTTATCATGGCACAATTGAAGTCGTTTTCTCCATGCCCATCATCCACTAATATCCGTTTTCACGGACCCAAAAGAGGTACATTTTCATTTTCATTCTCATTTTCTATCTGCATTGTTAATTTTCAACCATTTTAGCTTCTGGGTTCTGCTTTTTTTTCGTCGAACGGTGCATAAACTCCCAAAGAACCCATCTTTTCTCACTTACTCCTTCTGATATTGTTCTGGGTAGTGACTATTTTCGATCAACGTGTGGTAATTTTCGTTTTAAAATTAAACTCGCTTATTTGGGTGTTTTTTTTTTTTTAATTACAGCTTCATTGTTGTACAATGGCAGAATGTGTTGTCCCGGGAAGCTATCTTCAGCTTTTCAGGTAGTTTAGGTATTATGCCCAAAGTATATTATGTTTTGTCCTAGCTTGTCTCTCTGGTTAGGAAAAAAAATTGTTCTCTTTATTATGTTAATTTATCATTTAACATGGATTTTTTTTTTGTTGCTCGTTATTGGGTTTTTTGCCCCCTCATTTTTGGTTCATAGTTGGGTGCGAGAACAAGTGAGCTCCATGGGAATGCGTCTGTATCCATTAGCACTAATGGCAGTGTCAATAGTTCTCATAACAAGCAAGGTGTTTTTTTTTTTTTTTTTTTTTTTTTTTTCCCCGGGTCTTGGTTTCTCATAGACATTTTCAGCTTTACTTGTTCACGTTCATGTTCTTTTTTTTTTAATTGTTTTTGTTGATGGGAAGAGTTTTTTGTGGTGATACGATGTAGTGAGATAACGCAAGTTAAACAATAACCGAAAGAGTTTGTTTTTTGTTCAGTGAATTTTTTTTCGTGTTGATTCCTTTGCATTTGACCTTCACATATTATGCTTCTTCTGATACGCAGTAATCAGAGCAGCTTTGCCAAGTCAAAAAGAGTTGAAAATATCTGAAGCTACAAACAATGGAGGCTTACGAGGAAAATTGAAGAAGGTAGTTCTGGCATATAGTGGCGGCTTAGACACATCGGTCATTGTTCCATGGCTAAGGTATGTGTTTATTAGTTATCACTAATTTGACCATGGCTCTGATTTTGTCCCCCTTTGGACAGTAAGTTGCATGTTGTTCACCTTTCCTTTTTCACCCTGCAGGGAGAACTATGGTTGCGAAGTTGTTTGCTTCACCGCTGATGTTGGTCAAGTATGTTCCATTACTAAGTTGTTTGTGCTTCACAGCTTCTGCCTCAAGACTGAAGATTTGTGGTTGTGGAATATTTTTTGGATAAAATGAATTGGTTCTGACTTGCTTGTTTGCTATCTAAACTGAATCTATAGGGCATAAAGGAATTGGATGGTTTGGAACAGAAGGCCAAGGCCAGTGGGGCTTGTCAGTTGGTAGTGAAGGATTTAAAAGAGGAATTTGTTAAAGATTATATATTTCCTTGCTTGAGGGCAGGTGCAATTTATGAGAGAAAGTACCTGTTGGGAACCTCAATGGCACGCCCGGTTATCGCAAAGGTGACCTTTTACCATGATGTTTTTATGCTTTAGTAACTTTTTGTTGCCATGTTCTGCTATACTCTCCTGTTAGGTTGCTATCTATTGGTCATTTTAAGATTTTAAAAATTCAAACTGTCTCATATAGAAAAGGTCAGGGGCATTTACTTTCTCTATAAATTGTTGTGTTGGTGTTATGTTGTACTTATTACTCGTTAAGTGGTATATTCATAAAAACAGGCAATGGTTGATGTTGCAAGTGAAGTTGGAGCTGATGCTGTTGCTCACGGATGCACGGGGAAAGGAAATGATCAGGTAGGTTTTGCAATTCGCTATTTGATATTTTAATGGCACTTGTGTTTCTTCTTACACATGTTATCTTGTGTTGTATATTCAGGTTCGCTTTGAGCTGACATTCTTTGCGTTAAATCCCAAACTAAATGTTGTGGCTCCTTGGAGGGAGTGGGATATTACGGGCAGAGAAGATGCCATTGAATATGCTAAGAAGCATAACGTTCCCGTTCCAGTGACAAAGAAATCCATATACAGCAGAGATGGGAACTTATGGCACCTTAGCCATGAGGTAATAATCTACTACCCCATGAACTTTCAATTGGAGAATACAAAAAAGGCTACGTATTTAATTGTTTAATAATTCCCCATTTCTACCTCTAACCTTTCTCTAATACATGTGAATTTGACTAAAATATTTGAAGGGTGACATATTGGAAGACCCAGCAAATGAACCTAAGAAGGATATGTACATGTTGACAGTGGACCCAGAAGATGCGCCTAATCAACCTGAGTGAGTTCCTCCGAGAGTTTCATTTTAATTTTCTGTTTACTCTCTTTTTGTTCAATTGCTAATCCAGGTTTTCTTTCCCTGGCATCTCTTTTTCTGTAGATATGTCGAAATTGGGATAGTCTCAGGGCTTCCTGTTTCAGTCAATGGAAAAGAGCTTTCCCCTGCATCTCTTCTCTCAGAGCTCAACCAAATCGGTGGAAGACATGGAATAGGCCGAATCGACATGGTTGAGAACCGACTCGTTGGCATGAAGAGTCGTGGAGTCTATGAAACTCCAGGGGGTACCATCCTCTTCGCTGCTGCCCGCGAGCTCGAATCCTTGACGCTGGATCGAGAAACAATTCAAGTTAAAGATTCCCTTGCCCTCAAATATGCAGAGCTTGTGTATGCAGGCAGGTGGTTCGACCCGCTTCGCGAGTCCTTGGATGCGTTCATGGAGAAGATCACGGAGACTACGACAGGCTCTGTGACTCTCAAACTATACAAAGGTTCTATTACTGTAACTTGCCGGAAAAGTCCCTATAGTCTGTATAGGCAGGATATTTCATCATTTGAGAGTGGAGATATATATGACCAAGCTGATGCTGCTGGATTCATTCGGCTTTATGGGCTCCCAATGAGGGTTCGAGCAATGCTTGAGAAGGGTCTCTAAATTGTAGTTTCTAAACCATTGCAGACCGTTAAAAATAGTGAGGCATTTGGATTGAGCTTTATGTAATTTTAATCCAATGTGTTTTGTTTTGTCCTCTTAATAATGTGTTTTAATATGCACTTTATGGCCAATGCTTCTATCGGTTTAACCTTTTTTATTACTATTATTATTCGGGAATTGTGCAAGCAAAGATCATATCTAGGAGAGTAATTTTGTAGGATAAGAAAAAAAAATTATAACACAAAATAATGCAGGCAAAAACATTTATATTACAATTAGATATATGAGATAAAAAAAAAAAAAAAAAACTCGTATATGATAAAACTGCCAAGCTTGAGGCTCATTTCTTATTTCACATTACCCTTTCAAGCATGTTAAATCTTGTGATTGACCAACAAATTTCCCCTAGAAATACAGTGATCAAATTCCCGTACCATTTAAAAAATAGCTGAGAGTAAGAAAAGAAGTCATTGATATGAGGCGGGTTCAGATCTTTGATCACTATCTGCTGTTGCTTGTACTTGAGCTGCATACTGCAAATTCCAAAGTATGTCCTCAAAAGATGGACGGCTCGCATCTGGAGAGATGCATTTCTGCATTAGGGACACCACAATGGATAGTGACTCGTGCGAGCTCGTGGCTAGCACCGCAGGCTCGATTATACGTTTCCGCCCATCTTGGCTTTGCAGAGAAGCCTGTGCAAATTGCAGGATCATGTTCAGCTAACAAGTTTAAAAAATCAGCAGATTCTTGAAGATGGGGAAATAGTGTGTATTTTTCATTGGGGATTTCCTTGAAAATGTGTGCAAAATTTCAAGAAACTTATTTTCTTCAAATAAAGAGAGCCCAACCCTTGGAACATACTACAGCCTCAGGTGGCGAAGAGCCGACATCAAGGTGCCAGACTAGAGAATAATAGTAGTTCCAAAATGGAAAATCTAGAGAAATGTTCCCGAAGGACAAAAAATAAAGAAGTGAGTTAAGAGGAGACAGAATTCATAATTTTTTCTTTCTTTTCTTTCGTTCTTTTCTCGTGACTCAAAACTTGTACTATAACATTGACTAGAAATAGAATTTTACAAATTTCAGTGAGTCATGAGAAAATGTGGGCCTGTCATGTTAGAAAAATACAAGATATGAATTGAGATTAGTTTCTAGTAATTAAAATCTCGGTGCAAATCTGACCCGAAATAAGTATGATCTTCAGCACATACC